AATAGAATTAACGCTCTTTATTCCCCGAAATAAGTGTGTGAATGGGAAAAAAAGGAGCAGACCACAAGACTTTGGCCTGTTCAGAATTTAACAATGAAGGAGGACTATAATATTTAAAGGTTTCCAAAAATTCAGATGTAGTCTCACAACATGAAAGTTTTTTATGACCCTAAGATTTTAGCGGATTTAAAATAACCCCCAAACCTTCTTGCTGGCAAGGGGGATGGACAAAATAAAACCGTAAGAAACGTGCAGGGTAAATGTGTGTGGTAAGAGCTTAGGTCTGATGTGTTTTAAAGAGTAATGAATGCTGTGTTGTGGGGGTACCTGAGCAAAATAAGGTGGTAAATTAATATGGGAAAATAACTTTATAGTGATATGATGATTCCAGATTTGTTGCATACAGTGCCAAGTAAAACGCTTTCACAAAATTTTGTTTTGAGGAACAGGGAATTAAAAACATCATTTATTTACTCATTTCCATATCTTTTCTAGTTGTCTCAATCTTGTAGTGTGTACTTAATTAATACATATCATATATGCTGATCTCTAGCGCTTCCCAGTTCCAGTGAGCACATATGTGCTGATCTCTAGTGCTTCCAAGTTCAAGTCTAACCCACGAGTTGTCCTGGTTTGCCTATCACCTCTTGGGTGTTTGGCTGGGAGAATTTGCTCTAAAGGATTAAAGAGTATATTAAAGAGTAAATATTTTACCAGGCTGCTGCTTTTAAAACAAACAAAGATATCGACACGGACAAATCTCTTACTAAGATTATAAGGGTGGAGTTATTACAAAGTGTCATTGCCACGGTGTTGAATGAGAACGTGCTTAGTTCCCATTCTGGGTGTTGACAGTGTTTTCGTCATGCTGAACTGTAAAGACCTGTGAGCTTTTGTGTTGCAGTTGTGTTTGCCCCTAGAGTTGTTGCATGCTACCCTAACGTAGAAGATTAGCCCCTTTGCATGCAGCGGGTGCCTGCGGCCGTGACCAGCATGCCCTGAGAGTGGCCTAACCTCCCCCGGCTGCAGCCCCCTCCCCGTCCCGGCCGGTACGTGCCTAACTTCATCCGTCGTTTTGCTAACCCTCCCGTGTACCTGCCTCTGAAACGCGCGGCCCAACGACGCCCGCGCTGAACTCTCAGTTTTCTCTTTCAGACAGGCTGAGAAGGCTCATTGACGAACGGGAATCCTTGCTAGAGCAGGTAATTGCAGGAGCAGAGGCTCAGAGAAATCCCTGTGCCGCTCCACACGGCGTAGGACAGCTGTGTGCTGGCCTGTTCTTGCTGGGGATTACTGCATGCTTGTCATTTTACTATCCCAAAGGAAATGTCTTCCTGTGCATTAACTCAGGATACAGTGCAAGAAAGATCTGACCCAGTGCACTTATTTCCTTTTGCAAGGCGGTCAGTGCTCAAAGTATTGCAAATTGCTGACCTTAGCTCCCCTAAAATTCTGTGAGCATGTGTTTCTGAAAAACAAGGGAAAAATAAATATGGTCCAAGTGTTA